AACTCCCAAACAAAGCAAACCCCATGATCAGCAACAGACCCGACTCCACCAAACGCCAACTCGCATCAATAACACCAAATCAACAAGTGCTCAATGAGAAATGTACTGAAACACAGCACTGACCTCCTCGGCCCCACACTCCTGCTTGAGTAAATGATCCTGGATCACCTGGAGCCCCTCGTTAACAAAATGATTCCACGTGCTGGTGTCGCCATACAGCATGGCCTGGGCCTTGATGTACTGCTTGCCATCCGGGCGGCAGCGCTTGCACTTGAAGGTGTCGTGGGTGTCGCTCCGGGTGTCGGCGCGGTACTGGAACAGCTCGCGCAGGCCGTCGAGGCTGAAGTGGCGTTCCACGTCCTCGGCCGAGTCGACGACGCACGAGCTCAGGCTCTGCTTGTGGCTCTGCCGCTGGAAGATCTTCTCCTCGATGGTGCCGGTGGCTATGAAGCGGTAGACGAAGCAGTCCTTTCTTCTGGCCGTCACGCCACACACGGGCGAGCGCCTGCTGGTCGGTGGCCGGGTTCCAGTCGGGGGTCGAAGAGGACAAGGCGGTTGGCGCCGATCAGGTTGAGGCCGCAACCGCCCGCCTTGGAGGACAACAGGAACACGAACTCGGGACCGTCCGGGTCGTTGAACTTGTCCACAAGTTTCTGGCGCTTGTTGACGTTCATGGAGCCGTCGAGACGTAAACAGCCGTAGTTGTTAGATCGGCAGAGGCGCTCGAATAGGTCAAGGGTAGAAGTGTAATTGCTGATCAGCACAATCTTGTCGTTGGTGTCGGCACGGATGCGAGCGAGCATGCGGGCGAGGACCTGCATTTTGCCCGAGTACCACGGTTTGATGTCGCGGTCGCGACCGCGGGCTTCTTTGGGGACGTAGTCGGCCGGCCAATACTTCTCGCAGCCCGGCAGGTCGGCCACAAGGTCCAACAAGTCGGGGTGGTTGCAGAGCTTTTTGAGCATACCGATAGCCTTGAGCGGCTGGGAACCCTTGCCTCTGAGGAGGGCCTGAATGTCTGGGGAGTGATGAAATAGTTGTAGAGCGCCAGTTGGAATGGTGCCAGATTGCAGAACACCACGTGCTCGTACTTGACGGGAAGGTACTTGGACAGAAGTTCGTTGGTGCGGCGGATGATGAACTTGTTAACAATCGCAAGCAACTCGACAAGGCACTCGTCGCCGCGTTTCCGGTCAGCCTCGGAGGCATCGGCGTCACGTCCACGCAGGATGGGGAGCTCAAAACGTTTGCGAAACTCCAGCGGGTTTCCAAGAAGATCGGGATTCGCAAAACTGATGAGGGCGAAGTACTCGGACAAATCGTTCTGAATCGGTGTACCAGACAGAATGACGCGCCGTGAGACATTCAGGTTATTCAATGCGCCGAAAAGTTTGGCTGTCCCCATTTTTCAAGCGATGTCCTTCGTCACAAAAGCATCAAGCCGATGGGCGTATTCTTGAGCTCATCGACGCAACGGCGAAGAGTTTCGTATGATACGATTATGACCGGGCGGGTGACAGCACGGCCGGTAGAAAGAGCCCATTGACGAAGTTGGACGGGTCACTACCTCCTTCGGCGCCTTGCCGTCAATAGCGAAAGGGTGTGATGAGCGTCAGCACCCAGCCACTTAACCAGCTCGTTCGCCCAGTTCCGCAACCAAACTCGAAGAGGCAGGCAACGATAGCTTTCTGAATGGTGGACTTTGCCGGGCGTCGGGAAGACTGCTTCAGCAGGGTCCAGAAGAAGCGTGATTACATTGCAGGGTCTTTCCGAGACCCCATTTCGTCCTGCCCATGATGCAACCGTTTGCCTTTTCATTCGATACATGCCCCGTAACACACTTGTACATAAACTTGACGCCCTCAATCTAGATGGGGTCGGAGCACCTTGGCAAGCCTCGGGTCAATGACGACTGGGACCCGGGGATGCTCGCCTTCGACCTTCTTCTTGATGCCGAGAATCTCGGCGAGACTCTTGTGCATCAATGGCGCATCAAGCTTCGGGGGTGCCTCGGCTTCCTTTTGTTTCTCTTCGGGCGTGGACGTCTCTTTGGGCTTGTCGTCGACCGTCGGGTCGTGGAGCACAATAGCAAACTCGCCGCATGGGTCGTGCAGGGGCTTCGCGACAAAAACTGCCCCCTGTCTCAGTCCTAGCGTTGGAGGGGGGCGGTTCGGATTGTATGCGGCATTGTCCTTGTTGACGAAGGGAACGGAGAAGGCCTTGCGAAAGATGGTATCCTTGTCCTTGGCTTTGAACACAGGGAATCGGTTGGCATCTCGGTTTGCTAGAGCAAGACGGTCCGCATTGGTGTAGGGCTTGTCGGCGTCTGCTTCCCCGTCGGCACCCCCGTAATCAACCCTCCTCCGCTTCCGAGCAGGGCGGTCCGTTGCGACGGTGCGCGTTGCGGAACCGGGACATTTGAATGGCCGATGTAGGCGGTCGAGAGATTGGGGTGTTGGGAAGCGGCTACGAGAGACGAGGTTCTCCTTGTTCGCGGCGGGCGTGGCTGGCGTGGTTGACGTTGAAACCGTCCTGTTGGAGTCAGTCAGTCAGCCAGTCACAGATGATACACAAGCGCGGTGGGGTGAATGAGTTTACATGTTGACACGGGTATTAAGCTGCCCCTAAATTCTCGGCAGGTGTTATAAGAAATCTGGAAAGTTTTGATGGTCTGTCGAAACCAATACATCAACACAAGGCTCAATCGCGGCAGCCGGAAGGGGCGGGCTCGGTTGTGTTGATTGCGGACGCGTTCAGCTCAGGCAGCAACGCGCGCCTTCCCCACGGTGTCAGATGACCGCGGCACCGCGCCAAGGCCACGATTTAAAGCCCACTTTAGTTGTAAGTGCCAACACATTTCCCGATTTGGATGCACGACAAACTGAATTAGCAAACCCAGATCCCGTCACTTAGAAATGGGATGAATTTCTCAGTTTTGACTGTAGGCGTACTTTGCGTGTAAGACAGCTCACCAAACTGACCAAACATACCTTGCACACTACAATATTCATCCACAAGGTCTCATTGCCATAAGTATTCTTTACCCCTTGATCATAGTTTGTTAAGAGAAACAACTAAAAAAGAAAAGTGCACTCTTGTATAATTACGCTTTGGTGCTCGTTCTGACTTTACCACATCAGCAAACAGCGTCATTGCCACCCATCATCGTCTTTGGCCGCCACTTGGCTGTCTCGGCCCTGGGGCGGTCTCTCAGCTTGGGCTCAGGAACGGGGTACCTCGATGGTTGTGTGTTTCGCCGCACTTCCACCGACGCAGCGAGCAGGCCGCATATTTGATTTATGCTCAGGTACTGGTAATCGGTGACTTCGCGCCCGTAACACGTTCGTGGGCTTCCCTCGTGGCTGCTGATCCTTGCATGGTTCACGTGTCTCTGATTTCCTGCGGTTAAGTCTTGGCAAGGACTTCATCCCCTCCACTCAGCCGAGCAACCCCACCACTCCAAAAATCATGCCCAGTAATTAATAATTCTCTCAAGTCTCGACCCTCTCGTCAATCTCACTCCACCGACGGGAAGGTGGCTCCAGCCCACCATGCCAAGCGTAGGTAGTTTGTACGGAGGAGTGGGTAGGTCAACCTTGACAAAATAGCAAAATGGGTGTGCTCTTCAACGTCTCGGCCATCTCTCTTCGTTTGTGCTTAGGCGTGTGTCTTTTAACCTTTATTAATGAAACCTCGGCAAGCCTATGTCCACAACATCAACAACAAACTGCCGGAAACAGATAGCCCGGGGAACCTCGGCATTGTCTCGGCTGAGTCCCCCACAGCCCGCCGCCGTCTTCCCAACCCCACCAACTGCTTCATTACTTTCCCCAAACCAATCTTCCACCTCCTTCGCTTCCGAAACCGGTGTAGTATAATAGTAAATGTCCGCCGACTTCTGGGCCGGCTACATCTCCGGCGCGGCTGGCATCATCCTCGGCAACCCGCTCGACGTGCTTAAGGTCCGCCTCCAAGCCGGCATCACCACCCCGTCCCCGTCCCCGTCCTCTCCACTCACCCCTCCCTCCGCCGCGCCATCAACATCCCGTGCCTACAGCTATGCCCGCCCCTTTCTCCTGGGCACAGCCGCCCCCGTTCTAGGCTACGGCGCTCTCAACGCGCTGCTCTTTGTGTCCTACAACCGCACCGAGGCCTTTCTCAACCAACTCTCCAGATGCAACACGGGAGGCAGCACACCGCAAGACACCCAAGCCCGCGGCACCAACCTCCTCACGACCTGGCTCGCCGGCGCCGTCGGCGGCCTCGCCACCTGGGCAGTCTCCACCCCAACCGAGCTCGTCAAATGCCGCGCCCAGCTACAAATCCCAACCTCACCACCACCACCACCACCACCACCACACAGGCACACCCACCCAACGCCTAACCACCGCCCCCCACCTACCACCTCCACAACCACCACCTCCTCCTGGCACATAACCAAACACCTCCTCCAACAGCACGGCCCGCGCGCCCTCTACGCCGGCGGCGCCGTCACCGCCCTGCGCGACACCATCGGCTACGGCTTCTACTTCTGGGGCTACGAGCTCTGCTCGCGCGCCATGCGCGGCTTCGTGCTGTCGTCCCCCACGTCTGGCGCTGCCGCTGGTACTGTTTCTGGGATGGGGGGTGGTGATGGTGGTGGTGGTGGTGGTGGTAATAGTGGTGGTGGTGGGGAGGGGATGGGGATGGAGGCGGCGCGGGTGTTGCTGTGCGGGGGGCTGGCGGGGATTATTACGTGGGCGAGTATTTTCCCGTTGGATGTGGTCAAGACGAGGGTGCAGACGCAGTTTTTGGGCGGGGAGAGGGCGCCGCTGCTTGGGGGCGGTGGTGGTGGTGAGGGCGGGGGAAGGCCGCTCGGCGCGTGGGAGGTGGCGCGCCAGACGTACCGGGAGGGCGGGGTGCGGCCGTTCTTTAGGGGGCTGGGGGTGTGCAGCGTAAGGGCGTTTATTGTGAATGCTGTGCAGTGGGCGGTGTATGAGTGGGTGATGGCCGAGTTGGGGCAGGGGAGGAGGGAGGCGCGGGAGAGTCAGGAGGGGGGGTTTATTGCGGTGTAGATGGTTGGGGATGCATAGAGGGGTGTTGGGGGATGCATTGGATACCCGGGAGGGAGGTACTCTGCTTTTTGGGAATTGACGTTAAACAGGGGATCAATCGATATAGACCGTACCATAGAACAACTCCCCCAAATGGGACACCCCATGCCCACGTTTGCATTATTTACGAGTTGGGTTAGAACAGTGCGGATCATCATCTCCATAAACAAAGACGTCAGTCAGGGTTGCGTGATTATTAGGAACACTGTATTGAACACAAACTCGCCATCAACAGCACGGAAAGAATATGACGACCCATTTTGTGTACCATTCTGGATGCTATGTCCTCTATGTCCATGCCATGTCATCATGTACGTGGCCCGCCCACGACGCCGGCGATAGCCGCGCATCACCCATGCCCTTAGCAAGATTACGACTGGTCCACACTAATGGCAGCCTCGTCAAAAGCCCAGTTGTGCCTCAAGTCCACCCGAGCCCACCACGTCCAACCGGGATCATACCCCAACCAAGGTAATAAAAAGGGGAGCGTCTCTATCCACAAGCAGGCCCGTCCACCGTCCGCCGTGTCGTCGAGACAAACACGCACCAACGTCGGCTCCCAAGACCGAGACCCAAGGTATCGACAAAGTTGCTTCCCCTCTGGTATCATACCCACGCAATGATGCGATGCCCGTGAGAAGATCCATTCCCGCCGAGAAGTGCAGAAATGAAGAAGAAAAACTTAGAAACCGCCCGATTACGAAGAACCCAGAACGCCTATCCTTCCTGTTCTACCACGCGCAAAAGAAGTATGCCGCTGTATCCATCCCGAGTGACTTGCCTAAGTGCCCAGTGTGGTCCCTCCGCCGCTCCAAACGGGGAGAGAGATCCAACCCAGTCTGCAACAAGAAAAACAAAGATTCTCCAGCCCAGCCACACCTCCCTCCTGATGAGGCATCCCATCCCAATCAGATACGAAAAGAAGAAGAAAAAGAAAGGGGAAAGAAAAGAACAAAAACCTAGATATGCAGGGGTATCTCCCAACCGAGTGACGCCAAATGCCGCGCCCTCCCACTGGATGCCATTACCCTACTGTATGCTGTCTCCCTCGGCGCAGGCCGCTCTCCGCATGGCCAATGTTGCGGTCCCTTCTCCCGTCGTGTATTCCGACCGTGTGTAAGAAACACAGAGAGAGGAAAAACCAAGAACCCAATGGATCGGTGAGGAACAGGAAAGTAAGTGTGGTCATCAACGTCGTCCCGCGCTTGGATCGTGCTCCGACTAAGCCTTCTGTGGGCATTGCATGCGCCACTTCGGGATTTCTTCCCAGTTGCACCAGTCGGCTATTGAATGCTGTGGTCATCATCAATCATTAGTCGTAATGCTTTTTTTTGTGTTTTTTTTTTTTTTTGGTGATTTTCTTTGTGTATTGCGAGCCGTGTTTCGGTTTTGTCGCGAGAAAGCGGACGACTCGGTGTGGTTGATTTGCTGAGTTAACGTCTCATCTGGCGTCGTCCGCGGAGCGGTAGGACGATTGTGATCGGGGAGAAAGAGCAGCCAAAGTGCCGGGTGGCTCATTCCTCAATTTGTAAACGGTCCGATATTGTTTGCTGAGAGCGAGTGTCGAGAGTAGATCAAAATGTGCCGCCGAAGGAACCGTCGAGGGACCATATTGATCGAAACTCTCATAGCAAGCGAGTCTGGTGGCGGTGAACCAAAATGTGCCAATGTGTTGGCGCTGCATACGTTAAGATGGATAAGAAAAAAAAGTGCATGAACTCGAAAAAGTGTCGAAAAGTCAAATCAAAATGAGTCGGTTTGTTGGTCGAGATTGCATGCCAATGGTGGAACGAGCCAACAATGCTCGTCCAGACAGCTGCATCAGACCCCCAAGATTGAAGACCCCGAAAAGTAGAAATAAATGTGTCGGGATGCGCGTCGTAGCATCGGCGCCGTCAAAGTATGACAGGTACCGAAAGCTAATGTGGCAATCCAGAACATGTGCTGCGATGGATGTCGCTGAGGAGGGAGTTTACTGCTCCAATGACTCGATAGCCATGTCAAAAAGCTCCTCGCAGAATCCGTCAAGCTCAATGATCTTGAATTGGTGGCCCCACTGTTCGGCAAACTCAGGCTCGCGCCAGGCGGATGAGATGTTGCGGCTCCAGCCGTACAGTTCAATGTTCCAGCCGTAGGCAAGTACTCGCTCGATGTTCTTCTTGAAGCCATCCGAGTACTGCGCTGTCGCAGCATCGCCCGTGGCGAGCACCATGGTCGCAGGCTTGGTGTCGATAACACTTTGAAGAATCTTGAGGTGGAGCAACTCGTCCACGCCCTGCTCTCCGTGCTTCATCGGTCCCACAAAGCAGTCCTCGCCTGAGGTGTCAGCTCCAGACGTGGGTGCGTCCAAGTCGCGGGCTCCGGCCTTCGGCTTGCGCTTGCGCACGGGCGACGCGGGCTTGGGGACGCGTTCCAGGATGTTCATTTCGTACTTGAGAGCTTGGGCCTGCATCATATATTCAGGCCGGCGCTTGCTGTACGAGTTGGCCAAGGAACCTGCGACAACCCTCTTGGCGACATTTCGGTCGCGAGTGAGGATGGTGTCGAAGTTTTTGAACGAGAAGGCCGGGGCCATGACACGTTTGTTGACCGGGATGCCCCGGCTCTCTTTCATGCTGTCATAGAAGCCGATGATGATGTTGGAGAGGTCAACGAAAATATGAACGGGGTTGCGAGCGACAGAGCCCGAAAAGCGATCAGAGCGCAGCTTGGCATCGTCCAGTTTCAAATCTCCAATCTTATGACGAACATAACGCTCCTTTCCGCGCTTGGTGGTCCAGTACTTGGGAAGCAGCTGGTCATTGCTGAACTTAGCAGCAATTTCGTAACAGGTGAATCCCTTCCATGGCTGCTCTTTGGCTAGCGGGTAGTTGCTGTCAACCTTGGACTGCGGCGAGAACGGACTCGATGAGGTTTCTGCCTCGGTCTCCTGACCGACGGCGTTGTCGGCAACCTGTGTATCAGACGGGCCCACCGCAGGAGATGGGTTGAACGTAGTAACATAAGCGTGATTCGCCAACATGCCGTCCAAACCAGTAGGAACAGTGAAGAAGGCTCGGCTCAAGCCAGCGCCAAGGTGGCCTGCAAAAGTCTGGGGATGACTCAAATAGGAGGCAGGGGTCGGGGTCGCGATATGGGATTCGTCCTTGAGTCCCAGCTCTTCAGCGAGGCAAGTGGGGAGCAGCGCGACACCGCCATCTGCATCATCCAAAAAGCCCATCACGGAATCAAGGTCCGGGGATGAGGGGCTCTCGCCAGTCGAGCAACCAGGGCTATTCCAATTCGTGGATTCAGACGAGGTTTCGCTGCCGTAGTCCGGGACGGAGCTGCTTGGAGACATGAACTTGGTAGCAAGCTTTTGCTGCGGAGTGGTATTGTTGTCCTCAGACTCGCTAGAGTGTGAATCATATTCCTGGGAAACTGCCTTGACGAACGGATCGTTTGCCGGCGCAGTATCGACAAACCGGCGCGAGAACGAAATGTCGAGGGCTACGCCTTGCACTCGCTTTCTTTTGCCAATGGTCCGGCTAGTGGTGGTAGAATAACCCGTGTCACTGGTTGCTGTCTCATCCATTGAGTTGTAGGCAGGAAGGTCGTCGTCGCCACCACTGGTCTGTTCCGGCGAGCTTGGGATTCGGTGGTTGATACCCATCAAACGTCCGTCCCTAGCAGCTTTCCAACGCGCCATGACTTTAGCGCCCGCAGAGTCGAGGATCCTGTCGGATACCCGCTTCGCAAGCCTCTCGGCAGGCGGGCCGTCCATGCCCCGAAGAAGCGCACTAGATAAGGCCAAAGCGGCCGCGCCGTCTGCCTTGTCATGAATATCCTCGATTTCGTTCAGCATCTCGAAACGCCGCGCCTCGGATCGCTGGTAGTTGGGCGACCGCATCATCTCAATCACATCGGGGTCGAGGCGGTCAACTTCGTCTTGAATAGTTTCGAGCTTTACCGTGTCATTCGGGCCCTTCTCAAGGCGAAACTCTTGGACGGGGCCGGCGAATAGTTGCGATCGATCCTCGTGAGAGAGCTGTGTCAGGTAGTACGAGTGAATCGGGTGGTCAAGGGAACAGGCACGAGACCACTTGGCAAGGAGGTCGAAATCCGCACCGAGGCGGCGACCTTCGTGCTCGGCACGGCCGAAGTAGGTCTTTGAAGCCATATTGTTTTTGTCATCAATTGAAGAAGCGGAACCCGAACTCTTGAGAATTGTCGAGTTTCGATTCGGATCGCGGAGCGGGTGACTTGGGTCGCCAAAATGCAGCATCAGATCGCGAAAATGATCGAAGGATTGCGAGAGTCGAGAAATCGGAAGCTGAGGACCACAGAACTGCGACTCGACGCGCGAAACCCGCGAAAACGGTGAATTTGGTGGAAACTGGAGCCTGGAAGTTTGTGTAGTGCGAAGAGCGTGTGATTGCGCTGGGAAAATCGGGAAGAGAGAAATCGATTCGCCCTGGTTATCGCCAGTCGGTCGGTTTGGGGGTTTGTGGTTTATTATGGTTGGGCGATTAGGCGGGGAGAGAGGGGAGGCGGGAAGGTGTTCAGGTTCGCGTGGCGGGGTTTTGGGGGGTTAACTCGCGCAAAAGCATGATCGGTTTTTTGGGTGTGAGTTTATTATGCCTAAGAGATCAAGGGCGCGAGATCTGACAGCTATGCCCTGCGTGGTGGGCAAGAACCCGAATAGTCGTTTTGGGGTTCAAGAAGCCAAGCGGCGGGAACGCCAGGAGGTTGATGACTTGGCTAAAGTGGGGCCTTTCGGTGTGACAGGCTGCCCAATCCTGGGGAAATCTGCAGAGCCGCAGAACCCCTGCGCTTCTCTCTCCTTTCAGCTCGATTCTCTCATTCTTGGCATGGAGAGCTGTTGCCTCAACTGAGTTGCCACGTTTGCACCGCGTCTATTCAACGAATACAGCATGGCCATTGTTCGACATTTCTGGGTAGGGGCGCAGATGACCGTGTTTCCACATGCCCCAGCGTATTTCGCCCACGAACCAAACATGGCTCGAGCATAACATCTCACCAATTCAATCCTGGCAACGCATGCCCAACCTTGATTCGGGCTTGATGGAATTCACCTGGGGAAGAGAAGCTGTCTGGAACAATGCGGCCGTTAACTATCCCCCGTTGAATGCCGCCAGTGACGTCTTGGTCGATTAGGTAGGCAGCCGATAAGGCCCGCCTGCATGGACTGATGCTCCCCTTGCGCCGTTTCTTTCCATCATCCCAACTTCGCACCCCAGATCACTGAGCTTACGCCACCGCACACCAGCAAACACACCCCCCTCACACCGGCAACGCAGTGTGATTTTCTTCCCCCCAAGATCACAACACCAAAAATCTAACACACATTCAAAAATGCGTCAGCCGCGAATCGAACGCGGGGCCCATCGATGGCAACGATGGATTTTACCACTAAACCACTGACGCGGGTGAAATGACTCGTGAAGAGTTGAGATTCGGAGACGGTGTCTCCGTTTTGTTTGTGGATCGCATGGCGGGATTTCATGCGGGTCCCCGAAGGCCGGATATCGGGAGGCCGGGTGTCAGCAGCTGCCGCGGGGTGTCCGGGCCACGAAAAACAACCTGAAAACCGTCAAGATTCAGCAGCCATTCCCGGTCTTGATCGCATCGGGTAACATGGCGCTAAATAAAGTAGGCAAGTAGGCAGGAACCGTGACAGAATCGCGTGGCAAGAGAGAGCCTGTGGTAGGCGGCTTGCTAAAGAGGTATGTTTACGGGTGACAACATAACTTGAAGCATTCCTTGATAGTGATGCTCGTGGGGAACAAGGGGCCTCATTTACATTTGTATCCTATGTACGCTCTTAGTCTCCTTCTATTCCTTAACCAATACAGTCTTCATGATACCAAACGCCTTTAGTCTTCCTTCTCTACCGCTTTTCACTCAAGCCTTCAGTGGAGTGTGACATGATGCCGTCAGAGATCTACCCATCAGAGCCAGTCCGCCAGCCCAGCCCTCAGCGTGAGCAGAGACTCGAAAGAGTTTTATTATTAACTATCTGCACCATGCCGATCAAAAGTGTTCGAGTCAACCTACTATGGTTTTGTGCGTTCATGACTAGCGACTAGCTTTCAGCTGATCCCCCCTGTCCCCACCAACGGGATGCCGCCAACACTGCATGGCTTGTCTCCATGACGTGCAAATTCTGAGCGAATACATCGCGTACCGCGGCCCTTCAGGCACTGGGCCTGATGTGGTGCAGCGATCTGCAGCAGTTAAAGCAATAACCCAGCTGGCCTCCGATCTTCACGTTGGCGGTCTCCGCCACCCGGCGTCTCAAATAGAGGACGATTCCCACGGTATCCTTTCCCAACTATTTCTCAACTATTCTCTACCGAACCCAGCTGCCGTCACCTCAGCACAATCCCTAACAAAACCAACCATGGGGTCTCAACCGAACCTGCAACCCATCCAGCTCTGGGGCCGGAGAGGCCCCAACCCCCCCAAAGTCACCATGATCCTCGAAGAACTCGGCCTACCCTACGAACACATCCCCATCGAGTTCAAGGACGTCAAACAACCCGAGTACCTGGCCATCAACCCCAACGGCCGACTACCCGCCATCCGAGACCCCAACTCGGGGCTGACCCTGTGGGAATCCGGCGCCATCATCGAGTACCTGGTCGAGCGGTACGACACGGACCGCAGGCTGAGCTTTGCGCCCGGCACCAACGACGCCTACCACACCCGGCAGTGGCTGTACTTCCAGGCGTCGGGCCAGGGCCCCTACTTTGGGCAGGCGACGTGGTTCAAGATGTACCACCACGAGAAGGTGCCCAGCGCCTTCGAGCGCTTCAAGACCGAGGTCAACCGCGTGTCGGGGGTGTTGGAGGCGTACCTTGAGTCGCAGCGGTCGGCGGCTGGGGAGGGGGGTGGGCCGTGGCTGGTGGGAGGCAAGATGACGTTTGCGGATATCGCGTTTATTCCGTGGTACTGTTGGATGGACTGGATGTTGGATGATGAGGAGTTCAAGTTGGATGATTACCCTACGGTGAAGGACTGGCTGGATAGGATGCGCGCGAGGCCGTCGGTGACCAAGGTTCTCACTGATATCAAGCCTGCAAACGCCAAAAAGTAAGGCCAATGTGAGGTTGGCAGAGGGTATGTCAGGGTGGGTGGCAGGGTGTTTCACCCCCACTTCCACCGTAAATACTCCGAGAATAGAGTAGCCAAGGCAGAATTATGTTGCGGCGTCCCCTCCAGACAATGGACTTCCGTGTAGAGAGATATGACAATCACGACTGCCAGTCGAAAACCATCCATAGATTGCAATGTCCATTTCTACAGTAATATACATACCGCCATCCCCCAGCACAAGCCCCAACCTGCCAAACAAGCGAAATGTCGGGGATCTGGACTGGCACAACAACCCTTCTCCCTCTCAAGTCTGGAAACAGCCCGCGCAGAGGGGGTATATCCATCCCTGTCCCGGATTCCTTCAAGCTTTTGCCTCCCAGCCCCAAAACACCAAGCCAACAGCAATAATCAACGCCGTAGCCCCAGCCAAGTCTGTGCCAGCGCTTCCCGTTCTGAGTGAGCCAACGAGCCGATAAAGGGAAAAAAAAAAAGAAACCGAAAAGAAGACGGCAAGTATAACCAACGCGTCTTTTACAACGCCTCGCGTCTCTTCTCCACCTCTCGCTTCCACTCCTCTTTCCATCCCTTCCGCTGGATTAAGTCGTCAAACTTCCTGGCCTCCTCCTCGGTCATCGCGCCCCTCTCCCGGCACCAGTCGCGGTACCACTCCAGATTCTTGACACGCCGCTCCTCCTTGGTCAGGTTCTTAGTCGCCTCTCTCCCCTCGACCATCATGCGGTCCCAGTTCTCAATCCCGCCGAGCGACGCGTCGATGACCTTCGTGCCGCGATCAATCTCAGCCGCCCAGGCGGCCAGGACCTTCCCGAGCAATTCGGCCTGGTTCTTCTCTTCGGCCTCGGCGCGCTGCTGCTCCTCCCGCGCGCGGAGCACGGCGAGCTTCTTATTGGCTTCCTGCTCCCGCGCGAGAGCTTCGTCGCGCTCCTTCCGCTTGCGCGCACGCTCGGCGCGCAGCTGGCTGATGGAGGCCAGGTGGCGAACGCTATGGCCGAGACCGGCGTGCTGCTCGGCGACGCCATGGGTCGGGCGGTCGAGCGGCGGCGCCGTGAAGAAAAGAATGCGCCCTTGCTCGTCGCGCTCAAACTGCTCGCGGACGTCGGCCGGGATCGCCGCGTCGACGGGATCAGCAAGGGTGTACACCTCGGGGGCGCGCGGGACGTTGTAGACGTGGCCGGGGTTGGCGTGTGGGAGGGGTGCCATGTTGGGGGCTGGCGGCATGGGTTGGCGAGATGGAGTCATGGCTTGAGGTGCGGGATGCACCGGACGGTGGTGCTGGTCGAAAGCCGGCGCGATGTGGGCCGGTGTCTGGTATTGCATCTGCTGTGGAGCCATTTGGGGTTGTCCACCATACTGGGGTGGGTACGCCTGGGGTGGTGGAAAGTGTGGGCTTGGCTGCATTTGTCCCATGCCAGGATGTTGCGGCACGTGCATAGCCATCTGTGGCTGTGGTTGGAGATGGATTGGTGTCTGGTGGGGAGCAGGTTGTGGAACCGGTCGCGGCTGGAAGTGCTGCATCTGGAAATGAGATGGTGACGGTGCAGGCGCAGGCGCCGCGGCGGCGGGGTGGTGATAGGTCGGTCCTCCCATGCCCATGTTGGCTTTCATCGGGACTTGGGTGGGCGCAATTGCGAGCGGCACAGGTGCGACGGCCGCTGGCAGTGGATTGGGTTCAGGGGGAGGTGATGCCTTCAACACGGTCAGCTTATGCATTCCTCGGCGAACTAACGGAATAGGTATCCAGAATGCCAATGGTGAAAGCGCGACGGCTGCGTAAATCAAGTGTGTGGAATGTAGGCATGGAAGTTGGAAAGAAGACCCCCTGAAGCCACCAGCTTGACAGGCGCATCCTGTGAAACAAAAGAGCAAGTGGCGGATAACAGCCACACACACACACACACACATATAGAGAGGGGCCATGTTTGCGTCTAGAACAACCACAAACATGTAGGTCTCTCGAAAGGATAAAAAAGCAAGAAAACAGGAGCTACTCACATTCGGGTCTCGAGGACGACGATGCACCGCTCCAATCAAGGGCGGTGCGTTCGGGCTCCTCCAGGTTGGCTTTGGAAGGGGATCGGTTTCCTTAGCATCGGCCTGCAGCAGATGCTTGATTGGACTCGGGACCTTCCGCAGATTCCGCGGCACATCGAACAGGTCCATCTCGTAATCCTTGTCGCGCACCTCGTCCGGCAAGCAACTCGTCCACGTCTTGATCTCGTTGAACTTGAACTTCTCCTCATTGTACCGGGCCTTGCACACATATACTGACTTATCCAGCGGCAGGCCGCGCGGCCGGCCTCTCGGGTAGCGGGTGATGAACATGACGAAGCAACGGTCCTCGACATCGTCGATGCGGTGGTCGCGATATTGACCCGTCTTGACCACTTCGTTTTCGAAAAAGTGCTTGTCAAAACGGTGAACTGTCTGCTCGGGCCGGTAGTACCAGCACGCATTCACCCATTTCTGGCCTGCCGCGTCAGACCAAGTCCGATAAACTTGGGCGACGATGGGCTTTGACAAGTCGTTAGGGTTCCGAATGTGAACCCAATCCCCTGCAAATTGTCAGCGAACGTGGAATGTATTTCTAAGGGTGCGTTCTTTGTAGTACTCACCCACTTTCCAGATCTCTCCGCGATGCTCAATACCGGCCAAGGGCAACCTCCCGTCCTCGTCCCGGAAGTCTTCGTCAGGTTTAGCCTTCTCCTCTTCGGCAAGCAAACGAGCCTGGTTGGCCAGCTCCACAGCATCTTGATAGACCTCGCTACCCTCCTCATTGTAGTGCATGGCGTTCTCAAACATGAGCTCGAGGTCGCGAAGAGCTTGGTCGACGGATTGGTACTTTTTGCGCTTGTGCTTCTTCTTGATGGCGTCCAGCGCAATCGGGTTGCGGATAGCGTCGTAGTAGTCTGGCAGCTCTGCCTTGTCAGGGAGTCTCTCAAAGTGGAGGATGCGCAGCTGGCCGCTTTCGTTCTTGAACCGGCGTAGACCCTTCAGGATAGCCTGGACACGAGCTTCGAGGGGCGTGAAGACCTTGGGTGGCCTGCCGCGCTTCTTTTGCGCGTCATCGCCGTCTTCCCCACCCCTCCTAGTCCCTGACTGCCGGCGACGCCTTCCCGAGCGACGGCGACCGCCTTCGTCATCGGAATCATCGTCTTCGTCGTCCTCTTCCTCTTCCTCGTCGTCCTCTTCTACTTCTTCCTCGTCCTCTTCGGGGGGCGGCGAGTCCTCAAATTCGGGCAAAGGTCCTAGGTCTGGAAGCGCAGCATCTTCAGCAGCGATTGAGCCCTCCTTGACCATCTCTGCAAGCTTCTCCTTAAAAACTTCCAGCAGACGACCGGCATCGGAAAAGATAGGTGCAGAGGGTCTGTTATAAACCTGTGCATTGTGACATATGCGGGTAACATCGTGCACAAACTCGTTGAACCGAGTGTACGTCTTCTTGCCGAGCTTGGCCTGCGCGCGATCTCGGTCAGCCAGCTTGGTCCGGGCGTCAATTGGGTTACGATCAACTCACCCGAATGGTACTGAAAGCCATGGGCTCCTTAATCACGTCGAAGTAGTCCGGAAGGCTGCGCTTGTTGACAAGGCGCTGGAAGCCCGAGGCGATCTCGTGGTCCCTGGGGAGCCAATCAGCATCCCGTCGCATCGCATAGCGACATGTGAAGGGGGCCAAGAACTTACTCTCCGTCGACTTTGATTGTGTAGCGACACAAGTACTCAGACGTGTCTTTGATAAGTTGCAGCAGGTTGCGCCACTCTTCTTCCTGGCGAGTCTCCTCATCCATATCATCAAGTTCGCCGTCTGCATCCGCGTCGGCATCCGCATCGTCGTCGCCATCGGGGTCACCCTCGGCGTCAACGTCCATCTCATCGTCTTCCCTGTGGGCGAAACTATCGGCATCCTCCATCTCAACGTCGTCGTCGACGTCGCCCTTGGCCTCGATGGACTCTTGCACCTCGATCGCGTCGTTGGCCATGCTACTTCTCCGTTTTCGAGGAGTCGATCTGGTCGCGGTCGGTGAGTTCTGTGCCTTTTTGGTAGGCGACATCTCGCCTCGACTGGGCCGTTCGCGGAGGGTGGGCATCGCGGCACAGGAGGCAGGGTTTCCAAGACTGTTGACACGAAGAGGGGACCTCAACCAACCGACCGAGTCAGTTGCGACTTGGAAATCTCCACAAGCGAGAGACGTGCACACAGCGATGTTCAGCCCGTGTTGAGCGCGATTGGAGAATGGCTCCACTTGTTTTCAGTAACGCGTTAATGCCTCGGTAACTGCTTAGCGCCTCCCTTGCCTCTGAGCCTCCCTGGCTGCCGATCCACCCGGAAGCTTTACAGTGGTCCGAGCGCCCTCGTCCAGGGTGGAGATCCACTTAAACGGAGGGTGTGAGTTCGATACTGTGTAAGTTCACTTCCAGAAGAGCTCCTGGTAATAACTCGGTCTTTCACAAGTCAAAGTTGTTGAAGTCCTTTGCTGTCGCAACAATTTTCTGTTCTCCCTTACCTACCCACACAACTCACCACACCTCCACAACATTTAAACCAACTGCAGCATTACTCACGATCCAAGTCATTTATTTGTCTTTTAACGCATGCCTAGGTCGACCAGCAAGGGCAGTTTCAGTGGCTGCGTCACCAGGCGCAGGAGATTCCTCATCAGGCTATTCTTACCGGTCCCAGCGACCTCAACCTCCAGCTTCCCGGTGGACCAGGGGTTGCCTCTTGTTTGCTCACAAGAAGCTCCCCTTCTGGCTACTTACCTAAATACCTACTTAAAGCGGCTCAGAACGGGTGCTATGAGGACGAGAAACCATTCATACCTTTTAAACAACAATGAGGACTAGAAGTTGTCGTCGTTGTGGGAGTGCGAAAGCCTGCATCTGGATTAGGTTGTTAACCTTTATTGGGCCAAACTGCTAACTCAGCAGAATGTAGGTTAGGTGCGGAGGACATTTTCTGGTGTTTAGAACGATTGACCGCGCTGCTCCGTTCATGACTCCATTTCCCAGTTATACCTTGGTGTGATCCCGACATCGTGTTGTGACGATAATTCTTAGTAAACTAGTTACCCCGGGGCTGAAGGGTTGCCCCTTATCAACCTATGTTTGGTTTTTTATATACGATTATACCTACCTAGGCACCAACAACCCGCGAGTTCGTCTGCGTCTCGGCTTGTGGGGAACCTTGTCTCACTATCGATGTGATTGGCATTGCCAGTTGGTTCAGATCCCCTTTACAACATTTCCGGATTCGGCCTTTTAGAGCCTCCCATCTCTCCTCCTTCGTAACCATGGCCACCCCTATAGCCTTGATACCGCCATTGCTTCATTCTTTGAGTCAAACTTTACCACTGCTACACGGCAAGCAATGTGAGGACTTCGCCCTCGCCCACGGCACCCCCCGTGACCCCCGTCCCCCATCTCTTGAGGGAACGTTCAGCTACACTGTCCTTGTAGG